AACCCTCCTCATCAGAAATGTCAATGCGTGCAGGAGGAGCTGGAGGTTGGGAGGACCCAGCTATAGGAGGGGCAACGTCAGTCATAAGTGTCGAGAAGTCAAGGCCCAAGTCCGGAGCAGCTGTGCCTGTAACCTGATTACCATCTGTGGGAAGGAGGGATGATAGATCGAACTCCAAGTTCTGCATCTTTTGGAGCTCGGTCTTCATAGAAGCAACCTCCTCCTTGAGGCTAGGCAGCCCACTAACTTCACCTCGCTCTATCTTCTCCACCCTCAACTCAAGTTGCTGCAAACGATCCTCATACACTGAGTGTTGCTGTTGGAGGGCTGTCACTGCGGATTGAATAGGAGTCATTGCTTGCTTTATGAGATTGGGCAGTGTCTTTAAAAGCTGGTCTACCTTGGCATTGGCATGCTGAGCCAAGAGACCAAGCTTTGAGACAACAGGAATGGCCATAGCAGGCTGGACAGTGGTGGATTGAGAAGTAGGCTCGAAAGTGGAAGGGGAGACCACTGTAACCTGAGGAGCCACCGGAGTCTGGGAGTCGCTGTGCTCTAGATCAACTGGATCCTGAACCCGAGCCCGTGGTGGGGCAGCAGCATCGGTGATACGAGTGATATCAATATCCCTTGTCTCCTTCCCGGTTTTGTCATAGTGTGGCAGGAGGGGAACTTTCACAGCTTTACAAAGGGCGGTGATCAGGCACGGGAAGGGAAGTGAAGTAGCATGTTGCGTTGCCCGGATCCCTATTTCTTGGAAGATCAACGCTCCAACATCTATCTTGATACCAGTCATGATGCAGGCAATGAGAAGGGCCTTCTCAATGGCTATTTCAGTTTCATTCCGAGTTGGCATCAACCGAGAAGTAACAAAACTGAGCCAGTAGCGACCCTCTCTCGTGAGATCCTCCTTATATATCTTGTGCCGCGGGTTGATCCAAGCGGGAGTCCCCTTTTCTATTACTGATGCTATCCACCCACGTTCATTTTCCCTATTCGCGAATTTAGCATTGTATTCAGCGGTGCCTGTCCTCCAACCAGGGAAGTACAACTCATTTATGGTGTCAATGTGGCAGCACACACTCTCCCCCCGAACCATGACAGTATCAGTGAAGATTCTGTTTCGTTTGTGGTGTGCTGTCCTCGAGGCTGCATATGAAGCATAGAATTCCCTCACAAGGGTCTCATTGTACTCAGTGGGTGGCTTGGCAAACACTCCCATCTCCGTGCTTTTATGTTTTCCAGTATATGGGGGTACTGGTCTTTCAATCCGTTCAAAACTCAATTGTTTTTCGGCCAGGATGTTGCGCTTGGTCAGTCCCTCTCTATATAGTTTCCTGGACCCCTCGACCCCAAATCGGAGTTGGAAGTCTTCTCCTCATTTCCTTCTCTCCTCAGCCTCTAAATTGACTGAGGGCCTGAGCTCCTCCCCTTCAGACTGGGAGGGACTTGGCACAATTTCCTCTATCCGCAAACGCTTTGCCTGTGATGTTTGGCGACTGGTGGAAGCCCTTTTTGATGCAGAAGATGAGTGTTTCTTTGGGGCCATAGCTGCACAATGGTGAACTGTAAGTGACATTATTAGCAATACTGAGAGGAATCAGGCAAAATTCAAAGAAAAAGAAGAAATGCGACCTGATTCTGCGGTCGCAGAACAATAATGCGGACAGCAGAATCACCGCAAACATGTTAGCCTCAAATGGCTCTCACTCTGCGATGGATTATGCGATCGCAAAACCATTATGCGGACCGCATAACCATCGCGGAATGGACTTGCCCAAAACATTGTTTACACAATGCGATCGCATAACCCACCGCAAAGCAGAGAATGCGATCGCAGGACAGCAGCAAAATGCAAGGCTCAAAACTGAGAGTTCTGTGCAACTCTGCGGTAGATTTGCGGTCCGCATTTCAATTATGCGACTGCATACTCACCGCACTTCACCGTCTTCATCAGAAGACTTAAGGTTCGATTTTGCGGCCAAAATGCGGACCGCATTTCCACTATGCGAGCCGCAGATGCACTCGTCTTCAATGGTGCTACCAAGCTTTCAACAATGGCGGACCTATTTCTTTCTACCCATTTCCCCAAATCATTTTCAACCCAGGATCAATTAGATATGGAGAAATAACTACACATAGCATCATATAACACATTTTTGCAACAGGGATGAATGAAAATCACCAACTACACTGTGGGAATCGTAAACAAGACGAGGGAGGAACGGGCACATACCAGCAAGGTTTTATGAGTGGAACAAAGCAGATCCTTAGGTCTTAAACAATTTGAGCTTGAACGGTTCGATTGCTGTTCGTGTTTTTCCCCTTTTTCGTTTTTTTTTCTCTTTTTCGTTTTATTTTCTGTGTTCATTTTTTTTGTTTTGTTTTGTTTTAAGTGAGTGAGAGACGAGAGAGAATGCGGCTTACCTTGTCCATTTTGCGGAGAAAGGTGTCACCGCATAACACACAATGCGACCGCGTATGTGTTATGCGGTGAAGTTAATGACCAAACTGAGAGGAGGCAAATGCGATGCAACTTGCGGTCACATAGGTGAAATGCGGACCGCATAATGCACCACCACACTGCATTTTCGACCTCCATTTTAACCAAACGTTCTGTTCAGGTTTGCGGTCAAAATGCGGTCCGCATTGTGAAAATGCGACCGCATCTGTGCAACATACTTCACCTGTTGGTTTTTCTTCCCTTTTTATGCATCCTTACCACGTATTGAGATCTTTTGAACCCCCTGCACTCTAACACACACATTAAATTGCTAAACTAAATCTATCTAAAAAAAATGAAGAATTTAAAGAACAAAAGCGTGTTACCACACATGGGTTGTCTCCCATGAAGCTCTTGATTTAACGTCGCGGCACGACGAAGTTGATGTTCTTTTGATTTCACTCAATGGTCGGGCATGGACCATCTTTGAGAGCCAGCTGCTCCACCAAATGTTTTTCTCCATCAGTGCCCAAGTAATGCTTGATGCGTTGGCCATTTACCTTGAATGTACGGGACCCATCCGTTGATTCTAATTCCACCGCTCCATAAGGAGATACATTTACCACCTTGAATGGGACGGACCATTTTGATTTAAGCTTGCCCCGAAACAATTTGAGCCTCGAATTAAAGAGTAAGACCAGATCACCCGCCTTGAACTCTCTTTTCAAGATCTTCTTGTCATGGACAAACTTCATCCGTTCTTTGTAAACAGCTGCACTTTCATAAGCATGGAACCGAAATTCCTCAATTTCATTGAGTTGTGTTAACCTCAAATTTGCAGCTTTAGCCCAGTCTAAGTTCAGCCTTTTCAATGCCCACATCGCTTTGTGTTCCAACTCCACGGGTAGATGACATGCTTTACCAAAGGCTAACCGATAAGGAGAAGTGCCAATGGGAGTCTTGTATGCCGTGCGGTATGCCCACAATGCATCATCTAGCTTCCTTGACCAGTCGGTCCTATTAGCGTTAACAGTTTTTACTAGAATGCTCTTGATCTCCCGGTTGGAAACCTCAACTTGACTGTGGATGATAAGGTGTGGCCACCTTGTGCTTGACGCCATACTTCTCAAGTAGCCCCGAGAAAGCCTTGTTACAGAAATGAGATCCACCGTCACTAAGAATGGCTCTAGGAGTGCCAAACCGAGTGAATATGTTTTTCTTCAAGAAGGCGGTCACACTCCTTGCCTCATTGTTTGGTAAGGGAACTGCTTCAACCCACTTGGACATGTAGTCCACAGCTACCAAGATATATTTCATCCCACAATAACTTACAAAGGAACCCATAAAGTCGATTCCCCATACGTCGAAGATCTCTACCTCCACCACAAAGTGCATTGGCATTTCATGCCTCTTGGAGATTGAACCTTGTCGTTGACATTGGTCGCAAGCCTTGACCATTTGATTGGCATTATGATAGATGGAAGGCCAATAATAACCACATTCAAGAACCTTAGCCGCCGTCCGATTACCCCCATGATGACCCCAACCGGCGAGTCATTGCATGCTTTTAGAATTGGTATAACTTCTTCTTCGGGAACACTTCTTCAAATGATGTTGTCGGCACAAACACAGAACAAGTATGGCTCTTCCCAATAATATTGCCGACAATCTCTCAAGAACTTCTTCTTTTGATAAGACTCCAATCCCTCCGGAATAAGGTCACTCACCAAATAGTTAGCAATGTCGGCATACCATGGAGCAAAAGTGCTAGATAATGCCAAGATATGTTCATCCGGGAATGCATCATTGATTTCAAGATCCCCCCTTTGTCTTCCTGCTTCATCAAGCCTTGATAAGTGATCCGCTACTTGGTTTTGAGTTCCCTTGTGATCCTTGACCTCGAAGTCAAACTCTTGCAACAATAAAACCCATCGAATCAACCGCGGCTTTGCATCCTTCTTTGCCATAAGATAGCGAAGATCAGCATGATCCGTGTACACTATCAATTTGGATCCCAACAAATATGCCTGGAATTTCTCAAAGGCATAAACAATGGCAAGAAGCTCTTGCTCAGTCACCGTGTAATTCATTTGCGCCCCATTGAGTGTCTTGCTTGCATAATAGACCGGGTGGAGAACCTTGTTGTGACGTTGGCCAAGCATTGCTCCAATAGCTACACCACTAGCGTCACACATGAGCTCGAAAGGAAGAGACCAATCGGGTGTGACAATAATAGGTGCCGTGGTGAGCCTTAGCTTTAATTCATCAAAAGCCTTGAGGCATTTTTCATCAAACACAAATTTGGCGTCCTTCTCAAGGAGTTTGCACATAGGATTTGCAATCTTGGAGAAATCCTTGATGAACCGCCTATAAAATCCGGCATGCCCCAAGAAACTTCGGACACCTTTTACCGAAGTAGGTGGAGGAAGCTTGGAAATAATCTCGACCTTAGCCCGGTCAACCTCAATGCCATGCTTTGAAATTTTATGCCCCAATACGATGCCTTCATCCACCATGAACTCCCAATTTAGCACAAGGTTGGTTTCCTCACATCTCTTAAGCACTTGTCTAAGATTGTTAAGACAATGCTCAAAAGAGTCACCTACTACCGAGAAGTCATCCATGAAGACCTCTAGAAAATCCTCCACCATGTCGGAGAAGATGGACATCATGCATCTTTGAAAGGTAGCCGGAGCATTGCACAAACCAAATGGCATCTGACTAAAGGCAAAAGTTCCATAGGGACAAGTGAATGTTGTTTTCTCTTGATCCTCCAATGCGATGTTGATTTGGTTGTAGCCGGAATATCCGTCAAGGAAACAATAGAATGACCTTCCCGCTAGCCGATCAAGCATTTGATCAATAAAAGGCATAGGGAAATGGTCTTTGCATGTTGCACTATTGAGCTTCCGGTAATCCATACACACCCTCCAAGCCGGTCACCGTTCTTGTTGGGATGAGCTCATTTTTATCATTTTCAATTACGGTCATGCCTCCCTTTTTCGGTACACATTGAACCGGACTCACCCAAGAACTATCGGCAATAGGGTAGACCACCCCGGCATC